TATGGTCTAAGTGTTGAAAAGCACTGAAGTGTAAAAGGGCACTCACAGCTGTTTGCCTGGGGCTCCAGCCACTTCCCCTCAGCCAGGGCACAATGTGCAGCACACCCAGCCACCAGCACCCAGAATATTCCTCAACACTGAATTATTTTGCACATTTCATGCAGGCATCCGAAGTTCACAATTACTTTCCCTGTTCTGTGTCTTTGTTTTGTGCACCAACATTTTGCAAACAGCTAAAAGAAAAATGCTTCTTCATTAAATGCCCCTCACTCTTTCCCCACTCAGTGAGGCATTATTAGGATTTATGACAAATTATTGTATATTTATATTTTGATTTTAGAGGATATATGTGTGTATATATATATATATATATGTACATGTGGAAGAGTTACACATTTAAAATCTCCACATCCTTAGCTTTCTCAAAAGAATATTCGTATACCTTCCAGAATGCAAATGCCAATGTGCATCTTCATGATTTACATAATAATTTCAAATAAAAGATCCTCCTCAAATGTTTTCATAATACTATCCTTCAAAAGAAAAGAAAAAAAAAGCAATAAAAAATAAAACAGCATTACTCACATCTGAAAGGTTTCCATTTCTAGACAAACACAGCACATCAGATTCTTAACATATCTAACTCCTTCAACATATCCTGACAAAATATTTGCAGAACTAATGAAGTTCAGGGAACCTTTGCAGAAAATATAGCTCCTGGGAATATTTTTTAATCTGCTTACTATATAAATTTATGCACTCCAATTTTTTTTACTTGTAAATACTATAAAGCTTTTCAATTAACACCTTGATGAATTTATTTAACATTCAACACAGAGACTACATCAGTTTATTCTGAATTTTACCAAATATTTTTGTGCGTGAATAATTATTTTTATGATATAACTGTTTCTAACATACAGAGGCAATTGCTAAGGATTTTAGTTGTATTCAGAAGAGCATCTATCATATGCCTCTAGTGATCAATCGATAAAAGCAGCCATCTGTTGCTTTTATTAGTTCCTCAAAACAAAGGAATTGGTGGGTTAGCATTCTCACTGGAGGCAGAAAAGTACAGAAAATGTCTTCTGTGTTTTAGATCCTATTTTTAAGTCTGCTTAACGCCTTATAGATTAAGTAATAAACACAGGCATAAATAAATACATCATTCATAAATACATCCCAGGAGATCCACTAGCAGACAGAGGGAGGCAGGCTGTGTTTCAAGGGCTAAAAATAGAACTTGCAACAATTCCATGACCTATGACATCCCACAGTACCCAGACGATGCAGATGGGACATTCTGATGTCCACTCTCACCAAAGCTTTCAGGCCATCTCCGGACATTCATCATTGGCTCCTTTGGCAGGAATGCAGCTGCACCCCTGCAGATGCCACTAGTGCAGCCCAGCTCTGCAGGGTCAGAGCAGGCCTGCCCTGAGCACAGCTCCATTTGTGTGCACTGCCCACGAAAGGCACACTGCCTGTCTTCCCTCTGTCACTTGAACCCACAAGCTGCAAGGCAATCAGTGCTGCCGAGGGAGGAACTGGAGAAAATGCACAGCCCAAACTGCCCCAGGGAGTGCCCCTCCCGAGCCCATGGACTCCACTGCCACCCGTGCATTTAGCTCCAGGAATTCTCACTCTTGTAATTCAAAACAACCTGATACTCAAGCATAACTCAGCTGAGGGGCAGCCACCATTCCACAAACAGCAGATGTACCCAGTCACTGCTACCAGCACATCTTACTCCTTGAGTCACAGGAGCAGAGGGGATGTGTTCTGCATACACCCAAAATTTCAACTGTGTTTTTTTTCCCTTGAAGCCTATCACAGCCCCTGTTCAATGGCATGTTAAAAAGAACAGAGCATGGAGAGGAAGCAAAAAGTGTTCCTCAAAGCAATTTTTCGTCAAAGCAAGCAAGTGGTTGTGAAAAAATCCCCTCTTCACTGTGTCTTACAGAATCACAAGGGTTGGAAGGAACTTCTGGAGATCATCCAGTCCACTCCACCAAGGCAGGATCACCCAGAGCAGGTTACAGAGGAGCTGGGTGGGTTTTGTATGTCTCCGGAGAGGGAGACTCCATGACTTCTCTGGGTAGCCTGTCCCACTGGTCTGCCACCCTCAACATAAAAATGTGCCATTTTAGTTTTGTGCAATATTTTAATATACATAAACCCAAGAAGTTATGAGAATTGTACAGATGTGCACAAGGGACATCAATGCTTCATCACATTTTATATAATTTATTTCCTTAAAAAAAAAAATCCTTGAACTAATTTACTATCCAAATAATAAATTATTAGATGAATTAATTTACTGTTTAAATTATGACAGGTCTGCACTCCCTCTGGCTGCCACCCACCTCCCATCTCCTTTCTGGGGCTGCCTGCAGCCCACACAACAGGACAGGAGAGCAGAGACTGGTGCAGAGTAAGTGAAGGGGACAAGGACAAGCACTAAGAGACACATGTAACCACTGTTTTCAACAACAAATACATTCTTCCCTTTCAGAATATTGTACATAATTTATTGCAGACCACTAGACAGCTTCCCTCCTGTTCATGTGAGCATTCCTACTGGCAACATAATCTCAATTAATCTTGCAAAAAATACCCAACAGCCCTTGAAAGAAATAGCAGCTGAAGAAACTGAATTACAAATAGAAGCAAGGAAAGTTACTGAAACACACTCAAAGTAAAGTGTTAATCTGCAGAGAAAAATGTAATCTGACAAAGAAGTTAATAAGCTTTATTGTGAGAAGACCCCCTCTCAGTTTCACTTCATTCTTTTAATGCATGGGGAAATTCAACAGTATTTTCAAATGCAGTTTTTCAGAAGAGCTCGAGTTTAACTGCTAAAACGCAAAGGATAAATTTTGTTCAGAAACAACTTAATTTCATATGGAATGAAGCTCTGTCTGCCTGAATACAATCAGTTGTTTTAGAATTCATATTACAGTAGGATCCTAAAACTTAAACAGATACGTTTACTCATACTAATAATAAGTGAACTATTTGAGTACAAAATAAAACTGACCCCAAGAAGATTTGTCACAAATAAACCAATTTATTACTTTTTGGCAAGTCCCATACAGCATGAGCAAGGATCTTTACCTCACTATATTAAATTATTTAACTTTATACAAACTGTAAACAACTTCAACATGACAAACTCTTGGTACAGGTGTTCTCCGATTCTGGCATCTTTTCTCTCTCAGTTAACCAAACAAAACTGAAACCCAAATAAACCAAAGAACTGTGTATCTATAAAATGCAGTATGTGCATTTTATATCACATCAATTCTAAGCAATGCAGAGAAGAGTACTTATTATTATTCTTTTTAGTGAAATGTGCAATAGTATTATGAATAGAAGCATTTTTTCCATGCTGTTTTATCCTATTTTTTGTTTGAAACTAAAACCATCATTTTAGACAATCAAAGTAGTAAACCAAATTTTACAGTAAGCCAGCTGGTTTGGTATATAAACCAGTTATATTTGTTACACTGTAACAGATAAATAAGAATGCAAAAACTCCTGATCTGATTAAGACTTTGTTTTCCTGGCAGGCACCAGCCTAAGGAACTGCTTGTCCAAAAACTCTTGCTGTAATTATCTGGTATTTTTTTTACTCCCTCTCTCACAAAGTGCTTTAAATCAGACATAATCTGACCCACAAAATGATCACTTATCTCCCTCTTAAGTAAGAACAGTTTTTTCTAAGTTCCAGGAATGTAAGTCTGCAGGCTGGCTTTATTGAAGGACTACAAGATAGATACTGTTAGATCATAATCCCCAAACCAGGGCAAAGGTGTTAAATCTTTTCATTAACCACTTTTCTCCAAACCAATTCAGCAGCAGTAAAATACAGACAATACAATTGACTAAGGCTTTTTAAAAATTAAAAAAAATCACCTATCTTGTTAAAAAACATTTGCATTAAAATTTTGGTTTCAGTACGTTCCTAATTTTGAAGTCACATTTACAGACAACAATCTACATTTCTAATGTAAAAAGTCAAGCTATGTTAAAACTTTTCAAGTCTCTGCACATCATAAGAAGCAATTAAAATAAACTTAATTCTTTTACAGATAACCTTCAGTTACTGATAAAACCCAGGGTGATTATTTCTACAGCTGTGTGCAACCATCTGTTTTAAGCATTATAAAACATCACACTTTAGATGACAAAGTGTTTAGATCAGCAGATCCAGAAATTTTTAGTTGAGTTTCACTACTTCAAGTGAGGACACTGAGGAGCTTTTTAAGATTTGAGATTCACCGAAATGCACAGCTGAAAGACTATGGAGAATGAACAGTGCAGTTAACTTGCACTGACAATATAATTAATTTACAGTCATAAATAACAATGCACAAGAGTTGAATTCCTACTGTAAACTCAAAAAAAACCCCTAATCGTCCCTTGGTAAAATCTTACATGAAAATCTTCAAAGATTGTGCAACTCCTTCAGCCAAGCCAAGATATTCTGCTGCTGGATTTACCTCCAGATGTTCTCTGCCCAAATAAAGAAGGGAATCAATAATACATTGTTGAAATTAGATCCTGATATGACTACAGAAACACAGCAGATGTTATTCCGTAAACAAAATACAATCAGTTATTTCAAACGCCTGAACTCTTCCATTATTGTGCAAATCTAAAATAATGGAAATGGAACAGGGACCTTCAGGTAACCTTAAATCTTCAGCAGAAATGCAGATTAATCAAAATGAACTTTTACTACTTGATATTTTCTCTGCAGGACTGAGAGGAAGCTCTATTGAAAAAAACCTGATCTACACAGCCACCATTTTACAGAAGATCTTCTAAACATAATTAATACCAATAAGTTTCAAATTTTATGTGGTTTTGGTTTGGTTTTGTTATAAATCAAGAGCGATGTCTGATTTATAGTCAAACCTTGCAGGTCTTTTTTTTTTTTTTTTTTTTTTTTATTTTTTATTTCTTTTTTTTTTTTTTTTTTTTTTTTTTTTAATCCATTTCCAGTCTTACTGGGAATTTCTTGGAGCCAAACACATCACGATGCAACAGTTATCCAAAGTGAATGCATAACTTTTGTATGCTAGCTGCTGTTCTCTGTAGCAGTGTCTGTTAGAACTTTCACAGAATTGTAATGTTCTCCTAATCCATAGGCATGCCTCATATACCTAAAAAAAAGTTACAGAAATAGTGTTCAGTTTAACAAAAAGTATACATCATGCCAAACAGTAACAGCACTGGAAGACAATGGAAATAAAGCTAAGGTTTAGCAACAAAAATATATAGTATCACTACATAGAAGAGTATTAATAAAGAGGATTTTTAAATCTAGTGAGTTCCAGGCAGTTTGACAAATACTCTGAAGAAGTAATAAAAGTTTCTTCCACCTTGTATCAATGTCATTATTATTTTGTAATTATTTACCAGATAAAATTACCTTGCAGCATTTTCTAAATCGGTGACTGATATACATCAGACACTGTCTAATTACAACTTCTCCAAAGCGTGTCAATCACATATAATTTCTGACTTGCACAACCATTACTCAAGCAGTGTTTCAACATCAAATGAGTAACAGAAAATAAAAGAGCAGATGAGAATCAAAGCTGAGCCCTCTGTTACAGAAGTAAGTGCACTAAATTTAAGTGATAAAATTACATACTTACACAAGTGTTATTGGTTTGCCTGAATATTCTTCACCAACAACAATGGGAGGAGAATCCATCTGCACTACTTCAATCGGTGTTTGTAAAATGTGTGACAAAGCCCTTAGCTTTAAGGCAAAAACAATTTAGAAATAGGATTAAAGACAACGTAGGCAGGAGACAAGAAGACTAGGCATTTAATTTTAGCAGCCAGTTCAAGCATAACATTAGAAATATTTTCAGAAATTATTAAAATAAATTTAAAAACTAATTGAAAACAGCTTGCTTTAAACTAATCATTGTTTAGAGGATACAACATTGGGCTAGTTTCATTAATTTGCTAACTGTTCTTTCATAAAAAATAAGAATAAAATAAATACATATTTTGTGAAGCTCAAGTTCTCGTTTACATGACAACAACCTAACAATGCTTGCCCACTCATTGTGTCAGTCTTTCTAATGATATTTATACCAAATGAATTCATTAACTTGTATGTTGTCAAATATATCAGAACAGTGGTGCACCATCAGAAAAGATGGTGGGAAAACAACCCATAACCACAAGAAATAGCTATTAATAAACTATTTATGACTATGTTCCCTTATGCCTTCAGGTATTCTTTCTAAAGACACCCTTTTTTTTAATGTATATTCACTAACTTCAGAATTTCACAAATAAAAATTATCAATTCAGTACTTACTTCCAACTGACCTCCCCATGCAGCTGTATTTGCTATATCATCACAGTATTTCTCAAATTCCTCTGCAGAGAAAGAGAACACAACATTCAGTACTTGTTTTAGTTGAGAATAAGCAACTGAGGAAAAACTCTGATTGTGCAAACTAGAGCCAGAAAAGTACAAATACATTATAAAGGAAAATATGCATGTTCACTGAATAAAATAAGAGAAAAACAGTTGTCAAAAAAATCCCCCAAATTCATTCTCTTTTGAAAAGAAAATTCCAGACTGAAGAGAGGAATAAAAAAAGAGTATAAAAAGAAGTACAGCTAATACTTAAATTTTTTTATTCAGAGAACAACAGGTAACAACACACATGAAATTGCATACTTTCCTTCATGTTGAGTTTCAGAGAATGTTTAGAAACTTCAGAAAAGAATGTGACAGCGAGTAGTATATCTAGTTCTTCGCCAGGTGTCAGGTATGTTTTAAAAATCTTGCAACTGTATGTAGGTATACACTTGGCTAGGGTTTCTTAAATTTCCAGATTAGCTGCTTTGTTTTTAACTTCTGAAGTATTTATTCTTAATAGCTCCTCTGTAAATAGCTAATCTTTTCAGATCATGTTCTACAGAAACCAAGTTTGTAAATTACAAACCCTCAAGCTTTTTAACCTTACAAACAGATTTTGAGAAAGAAGAATGTTCAGATTTTCTGAAGACTGCTCAGAGTGACTTCTCATTCATTTCCTTTACAACAGAAAAGCACAATTCCCTGTTACTGTGCAGAATTTTATTCAATATTCTCCTGGGACACATTTAGCCTGTGACAATAATCTCTGTCAACATGAGAAAGACAGCACCCAGTGACCACATGAAATCCACAGCAATGCCTATTAAGCAAACATAGCATTAAGTTAATGAAATTTATGCAGTCATTTTTGTGGTGTTTCAGGCATAATGAATAAATTATGTATTGTTCAAAGAAGAGGTACACAAACTCTGTTTTTACTCAGCCTACACAGAAAAGCTCTTTATATTTTTTAGTTTAGTCTATTTGTAAAAAATGGTTCCAAAATAATTTGCAGTGGACAAATAAGGTAAAATAAGAAAAGGCATCTATTCAAACTATTATAAAACAGATTTGACTCAATTTCACACCCATTTTTAACAGCCGTCCTCTGTACATTGAAAACGTCGATATAAAACTTGACAAGATCATCCCAACCTGGTAGACAAGCTGTTTATAATAACAAATCACATCCCAGAATGAGTTCACACCATCTAGTAAGCAGCCAGATCTCGTTTTTTTGGTTGTTTTTTTTTTTTTTTCCAATGGGGAAAAATATTTCCTAGATTAATTTTAAAAATATACTAATTAGAGGTCCAGGTGCACCAAGTTTCATAATTCTGTGTTCCATGGAACACAATAAGGTAACAAAGTTACAAACACCATAAAAGTCCCAATTAAGCTGTAACTGAGATTTATCAGGAACAGTTATAATAGTTTTTAAAATCTCATATGCTATAAGTCTTACCTCTGCTATACATATCTCCAGTATTAGGATTTGTAAGAAAAGGCAAGAAGTCATCACAGTGACTTTGCATATACTTTGCTGTTTGGTTCCTCAGAGTTGCAACAGTCCAGGAATTTTGGTGATCCTTGAGCTGATCTTCAATAGCTCTGTACATGCAATGGCCATCTGAAGGGATTTGTTTAATCTCTAAATGCCTTGCTGCCAATAGGCAGGCAAGTTTCTGACTTTCAAGATGTCTAGCACCTGTTAGATTTTGTATCTCAGCTTCAGCTATTCTTTCTTCTCTTTCTTTCTCCAAAGCAGCTTTTTTCTCCTTAGATTAAAAACACAAAAAAATTACATCTAATGTTAAAATTTAGAATATGCCCATATGGTTCTTGGCTTAGTGTTTGCTTCTAACTCTTCCAATGTTTTCTCAGTACATTCTTATCTATAAAATATTTGTCCAAATCAGTACTATGTGATTCAGACTGATCTTGGGGACCTCCTAAACCCAAACTTTAGCAAATGCTAAGTTACTAATATATCCTAACTGCCTCCACAGTTAACCACACCTGAAATTATATGACAAGAGAAATGTTAATTATAACAGCATGCAAAATAACACTTTACAACACTCATATAAAATCTGGTAATCCTAGTGCTTTCTTCAGGATCAACTATTTCAACACTCAAGTATGGGAACTCTAATTAAACATCAGAAAATATCGCTCTTTCATAAGAAGTGTGACATCTACCAATTAAGTATATGACTGCATAATGGAGCTCATGCCATGAAACTGAAACTCCCTCGGGACAGGTACTCTACATCATAAAAGACTCCTCCTAACCTAAAGGATGGATAAGAGTACATGTAGAGAATATTAGTAGAAATGTAAAAATTTAAAAAAAATTACTTTCATAGAATGTTTCATAAGTTAATGCTGATGTTAACAAGGATACAAGAACCAAAGTAAATAAGCAAATAAGAAAGGAAGCAATACAAAGAATGATCTTTCCATTTTCATACTTAAAATTCACCACAAATCAAGACCAGTCTGGTTTAGACAAGAATATAGGAAAACTAGACCAGAATTCCTGGTTTGCCTAGACATGGTGCCATGAATTATAAACATCCTTTTAACATGTTTGTTGTGAACACATAATAGGGGATGAAATATGCAATAAAGCAGTGTTCCCCTGGCCCTGACCAGGTAGAATGAGACTGTTAATCCATCACAACATCTGATGTTTAATCATATCTAAGCCTAACAGAACAGGACACTAGGTAGTGTTTCTTAGCAACTCAATATTTTAAAAGTATTCCTTCAGTATGGATGGTCTTTCGTTTAATGTTCTAAGTACCACTAGTTGCATAATTTCCACAGAGTATTTTATTCAATTACTTTACTTATTTAACAATATTTTTAGTGGAAGTCTTTAAAAAATAATTTGCTTTACATAATTTCTTTATTTATGGCTCACATTTTCTAACTTATTCTGATTCCTGGCTCGTGGCTGAGGGTAGAAAAGTACTATTATTTATAAAATCCTTACATATCTCTAGGCAGCAGTTTAACAGATTTTCAAGGCACCCAGTAGGTACAGCATCAATACAGAATTACCCAGGAAATGTCCCCCAAAAGATGGTTTACCTTTGGCTATTGCAGTTAAGTTTAGCTGAACATAATCAGTTATTTGCAAAATGTTTAACATGAAGTCATACCCGCCTCTTCTGTGCTTTTGATATTCGATGATGCTGAATCTGCTGCTCTACTCCTTCAAGCTCTATATTTGCAACCCCATCAACTATGGAATCTGTCTAAAAGGAAAAAAAAAAAGTTAAATGTTCTTATTAGTATAAGCAGTAACTAAGATATGCATCTTCTGAAACAGTTTTAAGTTCTCTTTCAGGTTATTTTTATGAAGTTTAACCCCAAAGATCCATGTAGAGCACAGAAGCCATCAAAGCATTCCACATCCCAAACTACTGTCTTGCATTTAGTTACTTTTCCGCAGTCCCAACGGAGTGATGTGCATCTCAAATTTAAGCTCTATGTTCTCTAACATACTGGAGTGTGAACACTGCTTACTGGCTGAAAGGAAAAGCCTTCCTTATCATGCCAGCCAGTGAGGTATCTAAACAGCCATTAGCAAGTTCTGTGAAAATTAAAGCAGAAGGGTCTATCCTCTATATCAAAGCATAACCAGCAGGTGAAAAACACAGAGACTTGAAACTTCTCAAGAAAAATCACAAACCTAACTCAGTAACTGTATGAGCTATACAAAAGATCAGTCACACTGTTGACAAAACTGCAAGACAAAACAGACTGGATGAGTCAAACACCTGCTGAAGGTTATCAATACTTGAGTAGTCTACATAAGATAATCAGAGTGGCAATGTAACAGTAACTTAAAAAAATAATTCTCTAATATTACTGATTTACTCATGGAGCCTTAAAAGCAACACAAAATACTCCCTGTGGTGGTGCATCTTTCCTCCTACCCTACATTTAATTTCTGTCACAGCTTGGTATTTGTGTAATAATTTTCCTTGTACACCTCATCCATGGATCCAGTACCAGAGTAAATCTTGCCATCGAATTTTGTCATGGTTTTGCAAATTTATAAACCTGCTTTTGAAATATCTTTTACAGTGATTCTTTAGGCAACCAAGCCATTCTCTCAACAGTGCTCAACAACAAAAATCCCCCACAGTTACATAGGCAATTACTAATACTGTGAAGAATAGGATAACTACTTTGAAGTATTATTTCATCAAAATTTTTTAAAGTTAAAAAAACCATAACACAAATTGTACCTGTATAACTTCAGCTGAAGTTAGGGCACCTACCTTATTCTGTTCAGGTGAAGCTTCCTTCAGCTGCTTTAATTCCTCCTTGTGCTTCTGTTCAAGTTCTGCCTCTAGTTTGGCAACTTCATCTGCCAGCTGTTTTCGTCTCTTCTTATCATTCTTGGGAACAGCATTTTTCATGCCTTGAATTTTTGCTGTTAGAGAAGCAGTGAAATAAAACATTATTTCTTAATATATACTCTATGATCATCACAGAAAATAACTGCAAATCACACAGAAAAACTAATTTACAAACATCAACAAATCAGTATTACAGTTTAGCTGTGAGACTGATGGTTCTAATCCTAACATTTTCCAAATGGCTATATTTTTTTTTTTTTAAGATGCAAACTGCCTTTTCTTTCTTTCTCTGAAGAAGAGAAAAACTTATGCCAGGTTAGTAATAAAAATACATATGAATTTCATCAAAGTAGCACTTTTGCCTGTTGCCTTCAGAAAGATTACATGGGCATCAACATATCAGATCTCACAGGAAAGGTGTGTAATTTTTTAATCACACAATCAGCAGACTAAAATTAAAAACTGAGTTTACCCATCCTTGAGACAAAGTTTCTCAAAGCAAAATGGGTATTTGAAAACAAAAACATCTTGATTAAAGTCCCTAAGTATTTCTAGGCTGCAATTCAATGCTTCATTTCTAAAATCACAGAATAGTTTGGTTAGAAATGGTGTCCAGAGGTTACCTAGTTCTATCTCCTGCTCAAAGCTGGGCTGAATTCAAAGCTGCATCAGGTTATGCTAATTCAGATGTACCTGAAATTCATTCAAGTGACTGTACACTCTCCAGGGACAGGCATTCTGCAACCTTTCTGGGAAACTTTTTTTCCCGGTATTTAATGATTCTTGCTATGAAAATATTTTCCCTTACTCTTCCCATGAAGATTTTTCTTGTTGCTCTTCAGCCCGTGTCTCTAGTTCATTCTCCATTCTTTGATGAGTCTGGCTCTACAGAAACTACAACCACATTCCCCTATAGTCTTCTCTTCTTCTCATGTGTTCCTAAATGACCACTCCCTCTACCTCCGTCACTTCTGTATTCACTTTTAGAGTTACAGCAGCAATTATTTAACACCCTGCTTGCTATTCATCACCTGTACATCTTCCTGTCCTTCATCCTTGACTGACCCAATTGAGCTGAAGATGATGGCAATGATAATGAAACTTTTCAAAGGGAGGCAGGAAGAATGCTCATACTGAAAGATTTATGTTAAGCATTCAGCCCCACAGATGAATAAGCTGAGTATGACAGAAAAGCAGCCTTGTTCACTAAAATTAGCATAATAGAGGAGAAGGGAATACAGAACATAAAAGGCACACACAAATACACAGGAGAGAGTATGAGTGGTGGAAAGCAGGGAGGGGGCTGTGGAGACAAGTACCATCAACCTGAGAAGGTGTTGGATTTTCAGAGGTTGAGATGCACCTTGTGTTAATTCTTAGTTTTGCTCTCTGGTAAACAGCTATCAATGCACATACCAGGAATGTATTTTACTAGTAGGCAAACATGTACCTATAAGTCACCTGCCTCTCCCAGCTGGGAAGAAAGGGAGGGACTCTGCCATGTATACACCTCTCCCACCATTTGGTAATGGAGAACTACCATTATCATCTTCTCTAAGGTGTAAAAACCCTCTGCTCCTCAGCCACTCCCAATCAACGTGCCATGCACTCCAGCCACCCTAGGACAATGCTTGATTCCTAAGCTTCTTAAATTTCAACCGATTCTGAGGGAGGAACAGGCATCTTAGAACAGTAAGTTCCTATAGAATTAGTGACAATATGTAACCTGACTGCTTTCTTCTTTAGCCCTCTGTTAAGAGGTTGTAGCTGGGTTTATTTCATCACATACCAAAAAAACCAAACAAGGAAAAGGCCTAATCAATATACTAGCAATGGAAAAGGCTTAACAAAAATGTTATAACAGCTACGGAATTCAACAGAGTCCATCTATTTGACCTCCTTAATTATACTAATATATTGTAATAGCATAGGTCAAATGATGCAAAGCGTTACAAGCTCATATTGAAGCACTGTTAAGACCATTCAGATCTTTTACTATAAGTATTTTATTATGGCTGGACAGGACGTAAAAATTCAGTTCAGGTCAACTGCAGTTGGAATGACAAACGTAACAGGCAGGGCAGGAAGAGCCCCTATGCAGGCTTTTCAATCTAAAATGCCTTAAAAAAACACACCTTCTTCACCTTGAAACTAAGCACCAGACCGCGAACCAATGGCCCAGCATTAGGTCTCGGCTCCCGCGGCCAGGGCGAGGCGTCCAGGCAGCCCCGCACGGCCAGCGCTGCTCCCGGCTGCCGCACCGCTCCCGCACACCGCACACCGCCCGCCACCGCCGTGCTCGTGCCCCGCCAGCGCGCTGCCAGGGCCGCTCCCTCCTCCTCCGCAGCCGCCGCCGTCCCTCCCGGCCCCGCGCTCCCCGCGGGGGAAGAGGCCGCGCCGAGCCCAGCCGGCCCCGCGTGTCCCGCCGCCGCTCCCCAGCCCGCTCCCCGCCCGCCCTGCGCCGGCCGTGGCGCCCCTCACCCTGGAGCTCCCGCTTCTCCTTGCGCTGCCGCTTCAGCAGCCGCTGCAGCGGCCCCTCGGGCCCCGGCTCCTCGTCCTCCGAGCCCTCCATGGGCGCCCGGAGCCCGCGGGCGCGGCTCACCCCCGACCCCGGCGGGAGGCGGGAGCTCGCCGCGCTTCCGCCGGCCCGGCCGAGGGGCGGAGCGGCCCGGCCGAGGGGCGGAGCGGCCCGGCCGAGGGGCGGAGCGGCCCGGCCGAGGGGCGGAGCGGCCCGGCCGNGGCGGAGCGGCCCGGCCGAGGGGCGGAGCGGCCCGGCCGAGGGGCGGAGCGGCCCGGCCGAGGGGCGGAGCGGCCCGGCCGAGGGGCGGAGCGGCGCGGCCGAGGGGCGGAGCGGCCCGGCCGAGGGGCGGAGCGGCGCGGCCGAGGGGCGGAGCGGCGCGGCCGAGGGGCGGAGCGGCCCGGCCGAGGGGCGGAGCGGCCCGGCCGAGGGGCGGAGCGGCCCGGCCTCCGCTGGGCGCCGGGACCCGGGCTGGGCTCGGGCAGCCGAAGCGGCGCTCGGTTTGTTCAGCGGCCGTGGGCGTTGCTGTCCGCTGGCCTCCGCCGGGTACTCCCTCCCGCCGCAGTGTCCCGCTAAAGGACTCTCGGAAAAAGCCATAGGTTTAGTTCAACTAGGGGTAGATCCTGTTAAACAGGGAGGTGAGAAGGGAATCGGTTAGGGGTTTTACGCAGTTTATCACATTTAGGAAAAAAAATATTTAACCTGTTCATTTTGTGCAAAATACGCAGTGTGCTGGTTTTTCTCATGAAGCTCAAAAACACTAGAAAGGCTCACGAAAAAGATAACTCTTCAACGTTGCGGTGCTTGCGTCTCCTCGCCATTGTGAAATTATTCCTTAGAAAGTGAAACATTTTTGTTACAGTAAAAAGCCAGACTTCGCGTTTGGGATCAAATCAGCATCCCAAAGTGTGAACTACAAATTGTTGCATAGTGAGATGCTTTTCTGTTTGGTGCAGGCACCAAGGCTGGAACATTTGGTTGATATGGACAAAATATAGACTATGAAAGTTAATATTTTAAAGGTTCTTAAATTTACTCAAACTGGTCAAAAACCGGTAATGGAACTGCCAGATGACATAGTCTTGACTCTTAATGTCATTGCTGTTACTCATTTTACATTTTTATGAACAGAATGTCTACAATGATACCTCCCTGGAGATATTTGAAAACAGCAAATATGTTTCTTAGAGACATGATTTGGTGATGGACTTGGCAGTGCTGGGTTAAGAGCTAGACATCATACACATCTTTTCCAACCTAGACAATCCTGAGATTCTATGAAGTACAGTGCCAAGTGTAAAGAAGGGACACGAGTCTAAAACAGAATCATAACATGATATATGAAACTCCCTTGCTGTATAGAACCACCTATTTTTAGATCCCCTTTAGAATTACGTTGAATTCTAAACATAATTCTAATTATGTTGTATCATTTCAGATTCATATATCCATACCTGAAAGTACAATTTTCTTTTACTTCCTCCTGTTACTCACATGTTGTTAGAATAAAAGATATCACAAATCTGCTAGGAAAAGAGAAAAGAGACAATTGGCTTTTAGCTAGGAAAACAGTGTAGCACTGGAAAGTACTAGGGTGGCCTTTTAAATATTCTGCTATTCCAGAGACAAATTCATGTTGGATTTGGTTTGACTAACATATATCAGTTTGTCTATGGCATATATTTGTCCCCACATTTATCTATATATGAATATTATTACATTTAGTACATATTGAATATACTGTATATTTAAAAGTAGAATACCGGTTTATACTGTTTGAAAAACACCCCTTGCGGATATCTTGGTGTGGCTTGGCTGGGGAAAGTGGCTGGGGACCCCGGCAGCGAGTGCGAATGGGCAGGGGGCAACACCAGCCAGCGGGCGGCCGGTCACCCCAAGGCTCTGCGGGACGAGGAGACCCCAGACCAAAACTCACCACTGGACCAAGAGCTGTGAGAAGAGTGAGCGCACAGACTGTGAGGGAATAAAACTCCAGGGATCTTTTTTGGGAGGGTCCTTCCCCAGAGGCCCCCAGCTGCACCACGATTAAATCACTTGGAGGTGAACAGCGCTTGTGGCGCTCTGCTGTTATTCGAAGAGCAGGCAGCAACTGTGCCAGGAGCATTCCCGGCTGTAACCTGTAGTGGTACCTCAGTGGCAGAACAGTGGCCATCACAAGGCACTTTTTGATCTACACTAATTAACTTTCCTGCGGCAATGTCTCGAAAATGGATTCCCAGATCACATGGATTATTGTCATGTTTGGAACAGCTGTGCACGGATGAGAAGCCGGCAGAGGGAAGCCGAACCGACGGTGACCCGGGCGGCGGCAGGGGCTGAGCCTCAAAGCAGGAATCCTGGCGTTCTGCCTCCATCGGCACCGCCCTGCCGGATCGCGGGGATTCATCTCCAAAGCAGAATGCCGGCGCTCTTTCTGCCTCGGCACCGCCCTGCTCATTAAAAACTCCTTCAACACCATCTAACTTTTCTCCTGCGGGGCTGCTCCAGGTGTTCACCAAACACCAGTGGAGCCCGAGTCATTTGGCATTATAGGGAAGTGAGATGCCAAGGCTGAGGGAAGGTAGCAAGAAATGTGCTCAGCTGTAGTATAAGTGCTGGATATAACCCAAGCTGGGGGGGCATGCAGGTGCTTTTGAAAGAATGGTTCTGGCCAGGTGAAAGGGGAAAAGTAATAGAAAAGCAGAACGGCCACTGCAAGCAGAAGGAAGCGGGAACCCCTGGCCAGTGAATGACCCGAATTAGAATGATAATACCCCAGACGACAGGCCTGCATATTGCTTCAACCAGGTTTCTAGCAAAACCTGGTTGAAGCAATATGATAATGGGGAATGAAAGGTTAACTAGACTAAAATAATGGAATGCAGAAAGAGAATGGACAAAAATCCTAGAGATTTTTTGAGCTGCCTCCAACAGGTTTTGCTAGAATATGAAGCAATGGCTTCACAAAACTTTAATGGTACACTTACAATTAGTGTCTTTGTAGGTCAGGCAGCACCAGCCAGCCAAAAGTAATTTAAGGAGCATATGCCAGGGTGGCAGGGAGTAAAACTGCAGAAAATTCTTGTGTTGCAGTATTTGTGATGGGAGAAAGAAAAAACAGAGGGCAAAGCAAATAGAGGAGAAAAGGGAAACTGGAGAAAGTGGAAAATCTGATGGCTATTGCCATGACAGGAAATCTCCAGGGGAGAAAATGGAAGAGAGAAAGACCAAATACAATTAGTAGACCTAAACCAGAAAGCAGAAAGAGACAGAAAAGGAATGTGGAAATGGAGTGTTACTATTGTAGAAATTTAGGACATAGGCAAAGAGAATGGCCTTCTCAACCAAGTGGGGGAGTAGTTGTGCAAGGATAGATTGTCACAATGACTAGAGGTCAGCAATTCTACTAGAAATGTACAATTTGTGGAGAACACCCACATCAACAGGGACATATCCTATGTGGGGATTGGGTGCCATTGTTGAATTTCTAGTAGATACAGGAGCCCTCTTAAACTTCTCCCCAAGAGGGTCAATAGCAGACAAAGTATTTATACATGAAGCCACTAGGCAGGGAAAAATTTAAGTAAACCTGTATTATGAATGATTGGACATAACAGTGTGCTGGGAAAATTTGTATTAGTAAAAGATTTCTCAGTGTGCTTGTTAGGGAGAGACCTTCCACAGGCCTTAGATGCAGAATTGCATGTGTCAACAGAAGGAATGGATTTAATAATGGCACTGAGTGTGATTACTGAGAGCTTCAAAAAATGGACAAAAGATACTAGAAATATTGAAAGCTGTATTATTAGAGTTCTGGACTAAGACCACTACAGGTGGGGAACCACCCATGTGCATTAAAACTAAGGCAGATATGCCACCCTCTGTGAGACAATATCCTATTCCTCTGGAAGCTGGGAAAAGTGTCCAAGACCAGATAGACCAAGACTTAGATAAAGGAATTTTAAAGCATGTGTGTCTACATATAACATTCCTATATTGCCTGTAAACCAGAATAGGTTAGATGGAGACCCTGAGTACTTGTGCAGGATTTGTGGGTGATTAACCAACATACAGTGACCCCTCACCCAGTGGTGCTAGGCCCCTTGACTATACTTTTGTAAATACCACTTAAAGATGGCTATTTTATTGTAAATAATTTAACAGCTAGCTTTTTCAGCATCCCAATAGATGAAGGAAGTCAACCTTTGTTTGCCTTCAAAATGTACTGTTGACACAGTGTATTTTGTAGATTCAAAAAGAGCATGTAAGAGCAGAAAAGAGTATGCTCAATTGTATCAGCACATGCCATCTGAAATACAGGTATATAGTATATAGCCTGGAGATGAAGTTTTAAGTTATTCTCTAGAAAATCCAAGTTAGCACCAAAAGAGTTTTTTCTTTTTCCTTTCAGTATATTAGCAGGAGGACTGTTGAGCAATACACCCAGTTCAGATTGCTTGGTGTGTGATGTGCTCACTAGATGGCTGGAACCACAAGCAAGGAGCCATGAAGGAGCCCTGACCTTTTGCCTGACAAAGGGCATGTGGATCTGCAACACCAACCAGGCAGGAATGGTCGTCTGCAGGACCTAGTGAACAACGAGAAGATCCCAGACCAAAACCACCATTGGATCAAGAGGTGCTTGAAGCACGGGTGCACAGACTGTGAGGGTATAAAACCCCAGTCATCTTTTCCTTGGGAGTTCTTCCCCAGAGGCTCGCAGAGGCCCCAGAGGCTCTCTAAGTTGCTGCATCACAATTCAATTACTTGAAAGGTATAGGACATCTGGGACTCTGCTATAGGAAACCTGGGGTCAAGCTGATGCAGGGAACTTAGGTCTGAGTGTAGGGTGTGCAGGGAGTCAAACCTGTTAGGTCACTGGATCTACTTGCTGCAAAGGAGCTTCTGTGCCAGCATTAAAATTTGGAGCGGTGCAAGTGAGACTCCTAGATTGCCATCAGAATGGTCAGATGGGAGAGTTTGTTTAACATATAGCCTTCTACAATTCCAGGGTTTTTTTCAGAATGTTAGAAATCACAGCATAGTAAAAAAAAAAAAAAAAATTCTCTTTTTACCATATAAGACACTAAAATTAGATGTTCAGACATATGACACACTCTGTCATTCACACA